CCCCCCCCCCCCCCAGGGGACATCTCGACGGGGCTCGTGGACTCTCGCAACCCCCACTCTCACTCTCGCGCCCCATCCCCACACTCACTCTCGCGCCTCCATCTCGACGGGGGTCGTCTGCACCGACGTTGGCCGCACCTGCGAGAGAGGCGGGCAAGGCAAGGCAAAACAGCGTCCACTCCTCCGCACCGCGGGATTGGATGTGGGGCAATGGCCGGGCTCTCCCCCGCATCTCCACGGCCAGAGGCGGGCGTGGCCAGAGGCGGGCAGACGGTCCGCGGGTTCTCTCGGGCGCTGCTCTCGGCACACCGATCGCTGCACGACGGAGATGGAGGGGCCGCCTTGCATGGGCACAAAGGTGGCCGCGCCTACCGCTCACCCGACGCGCCGCTCGTCTCGCTCCTAAAGCCTCGAGTTTGGGGCACACGACAGCGGCGGCACCCAGCTCCCAAGTCCGTGTCTCGGGGGGCTCGGCAAAGTGGGAGCCTAACTCCAATGCTGCTTGTGGTTCGAGTGCCCGCCGCCACCAGGCGTGTGACGGGCTGCACGTGCGCCCAGCTTTTGCATGGCCGAGCCTGAGAGGCGTCACGGACGCGTCATGGACGTGTCGCCTGCAAGGCTGGGCGACCTGGCACTGGAGGCGCCGTAGCGCTCTGTGCCCACCGCGGCGTCGAGCGACTCCTGGGCAGAGAGAGGCACGGGCGGGTCGGCCTGAGTGACCGACATGCCACACCTCGCTCCCTCCCTCTCTCGCTCGTTCGCTCTCGCTCGTTGTTCGGTCTTCTCCTCTCGTGAGGCTGGGATTGGACACTCGTGACTCAACACTGGACCACGGCGGGCCATCCTTGCTGGCGTGACTGCGACCGGACTGTGAGAGGGGCTCGCGAGGAGCGAGAGAGGCGCAGGCCCGCCTCCTTTTCCCACAGAGTGATCGACTGCGCGCGCGTCTGGCCGTCGAAGAGGAGGAGAGCCCCGAGGAAGCCCGGCTGGCCCTGCGCACGGGGCAGGCGGGGCGAGCGGCGCGTCGACAGGCCGCAAGAGCGCCATAAACAAAGTACACGGAGCGGCGGCCGGCGCCTCGTAGGCAGACTTGGCGCTCGCGACGTAATCGTCGACGAGAGCTTCCCGCGCACCGACCCGGAGCGAGACCTGCGCGACCCTCGCAATCGGACCCGTCTTCGGCGCCGTCTCGAGCGCTATCGCCTTCTGGCGTGCCAGAATCTTGCGCTTTGCGGCTGGGCCGACGGCGCCGTCCGCCGGTGGCTTTCGGAAGGCGTTGCGGCGGAGGCCGGGGATGTCGTCGTCACTCGAGGAGCAGAGGTGCCGCCGTAGCGGCAAAGGCAGGGCGCATTGTCTCGTCAGCCGTCGCGAGGCGGCGGTGAAGCAGGCCGAAAGGGCCATTTCGCGGCAATTCAAGATTTTTCTTTTTCGAGAAGAGGCGGTGGGAAATCCCGGGGTTGAAGAATTCTTAAATTAACCGCCAATGGCAGTTAGCGGACGTCGCCGCGGCTCGTCTCTGCCGCGGCGGCTGCTGCGCGCACGTGGTGGCGCCGCTATCTCGCGAGACGGCTGGCGACGCGGCTCGCGGCCGACGTACGCTGCGCTCGTCCGACCGCCCGCGGCGTGGCGTGCGCGGCGCTGCGCACCGCTCTGCGAGCGCTTCTGCGCTGCTTTGAGTAAAGTCCACTGTATATGAGCTGCTGCCTCGCTGCTGCGAGTTGACATATCCGGTGATGTGCGAGCGTTCCGTTCGTGCGTCGACTGGCTTCCGGTTCGAGTCGCCGGGGGGGAGGGGGGGGCCTCCTCGGCCTCCTCGGCCTCCTCGGCCTCCTCGGCCTCCTCGGCAGCCTCGGCTGCTTGGCGCACGCGGCGCGCGAGCCGCGCCGCGCTGCCTTTTTGCTCGCTGCCTCCGTTGTCGGCTCGGCCGTTCCGTCTCCTCGCTCTGGCTCGGGCCGTGGGCGTGCTGCTGCTGCTGCTCGGCACTGTTGTCGCCATTTTCAATCTCTCTCTCTCTGCTCTCTCTCTCTCTGCACTCTCTCTCTCTCGGCACTCTCTCTCTCTCTCTCTCTCTCTCTGTGACGTCTCGTCTCTCGCTCTCGAGCCGCTCTCTGCACCTCCGCTCTCGCCGCCCCCATCGCCGGCTGCGCCACTGTCTTATCCACAAACGCCGCCCCTGCCCACGGCGTTACCCACGCAGTCACCACCATCGCCTCCACAGAATTCCTTTGCCGCCACCCTCGAAAATGCTACAATCGAAGGCACAAAGTTCGCCGTCAAAACCCTCTTATCCTCAGTTGCCGTCCTCACCCTAGACCGCACCGAAATTTTCTCCTCAA